GATTTCAAGGCGCGGGCACCCAGGATCCTTGCTGTTCTAGTTTAAGGAAGGAGGGCGGAGCCTTTGGAGAGGAAAGTGGCTCGAGCGGGCAGGTGCCGCTGCCTCCACAGATGAGTAACCTGCATGCGTCTTCTAGCCCTTCCAGCAGTCATGGAGTGAATGTAGTTGCCCAAATGAGGAACTAATTTTTAAAAATCATGTCATTCTGAGTCACAAAATTTGGAGTGTTTGTCGTGCCGTGAAGGTTTGCATGTAGGTATTAGAATTGTTGGGATCTCCCAGAGGGTTAAAAAATGTAAAGCCATGTAAGTCCTTACTTACTGCCAAGCAGAGCGAATCCTTTGATAAAGGGTAACTGCTACATCATTTTCATCAAGTTATTATTATTGCTTTGGTTATAAGGATCACTTTACTCTTCTATCTCCTCTTCTAGATATTATGCCATTGTTTTTCATTATGAATTAAGCAATTTTGGGGCTGGGGATTTAGCTCAGCGGCACAGCGCCTGCCTGGCAAGTGCAAGGTCATGAGTTCAATTCCCGGTACTGGAAAAAAACAAAAAAAAAAAAAAAAAATTAATTAATTTTATGTCTTTGGTGCTAATTGATATTTTCCTTCCTAATAGTAAGTAGTCTAAAACATTAAATTTTTTTCTTTATGCAAAGTAAAACACATACATAGCAAAGTGCTTGAAGTGTCCATACACAGGTATAACAAATTATAGAGAGGTAATGAGTGCTCAGGTTAAGAAGCTGAACATTGCCGGATTCCAGTTGCACATCCTCCCGATCAGAGCCCTCTGCTACCGTTTGATTTTACGGTGGTCACTTCTTAAGCTTCTCTTACGCTTTCTGGGTGTGTGGAAATGGAATACTCTAGTGTGTGACCTCTTGTTCCTGGCATCACCTGCTGCGCATTCTCTCCACGCCGTATCCACACCATGAACAACAGTAAGTTCTCATACCGTTTTCATGTAGAATTTCCTGCTCAGAAGGTATGGGTCCGACCTACTAGTGATGGGCGCTTGGGTTATTCACAGTTTGGGGCCATTATGAATAATGGTGCCAAGCACATTCTTCTTGTACATGTATTCTGGAAAAACATATGTGATAGATTTTTAAAGGTACATGCTTAGGCGTAGAATTTCTGGGTAATAAATGACTGTCAGGTTTTGTTAGTCTCACAGAAAGAGCAAGATCGAGTGATAGTGATGTAAGTGTTAACTTTTATTGGATTCCCACGTCTTTGCTGGTGATTGACAGAAAAGGCAGTGTCAGTTGGTGGGGACAGGAGTTGGGATGTGATCTGAACTATGTAGGGTGGCAAGGGTGATGACTGAGGTGAAGGATTAGAAGGCCCCCAAAATGGAAATCTTTGAGGACATTTGGTGACATTATACTTCAGAGTCATAGATTTCCAGGAGTTCACACCATGTTTTACATTATTGTCCCCCACATGAGCCTGTAACAGTGGTTTATATTTTATCTACGTTATGAAGATGGGCAAGTTGGGGACAGTTAACTGATCTTTGGCCCGTAGAAAGGGACACAGCTCCTTTACGACTAAGGTTTCCTTTGGCTATTTCTCCAAAGCACAAGCGAGGTACTGGTGCTGCCAAAAGAGAAGGGGAGAGGTGCTTGTTAGAGATGGAGAATGCGAAAAAGAGATGTTCCGGTCAGCCGAATTAAAGCCTCTGTGTCTATTAAAAGCAGTGGTGGCTATGAGAAGACTGGCTGCGTGTGACAACCCCGGCAATTTGGGTTTCTCTGTGTAGCTGTACAGAATGTGCTGGAAGTGGGTCAGTGAGCTGTAATCAAACATGGCGGAGCTGAAGAACAGTGCCTGTGTGCTCGTCGCGTGATTGCTCTGCCAGGAGGCGCCCTGCCAAGCCAGCCTTGCGCACCGTTCTTGCTGTGCCCCGGCTGACCTCAGAAGGAAGCAGAAGGGCTCACGGCTTACTGAGTTCTTTGCCCTGACAACCTGCAGAAAAAAGTTGAAAACTTGAGGACTTAATTCAGGTTCAGTAGTACTGTGTTGATCTTATAAGAAGCTAGGCAGTTTAAACCATTTGGACACCGTATTAAGATTACATCAGGACAGCTGGGAAGGATGGAGGAACTGTTGGCTTCATTTGGGGTCATGTTAGGTAGGTTGTTTTTACATCTGATACATGCTTCCCCCCGATGACTAAAGTAGTGTTTCTGACAGGCTGTAGCTGAGGATGCTTTTAACGTGCAGAACAAAACCTTCCATTTGCCTCCTGCTGTGACTTCTATGGATACGGGGATTTGTAGGCTATTTCCGCAGGTGTAGAGCTAACATTATTCACTGCAACCTAAGTACATTATTGATTTGATTTCTTGTGTTATTTCTGAATGGTCCCTGGATGTATGAAATTAGTGATGTTTTTATACTTTTGGCGTTATGCTTTTCCTGGAAAACAAAATGAGCTTTCCGTGCTTGAGTAAACACATCAACATACTATGGAACTGTCGGACTCTTTGAACAACGGGCATAAGCTCAGTTATTCAAATATGTGATTCCTTTCAATAGCGTCTGTGTTAGCTAATGCTTTAGTACAACTAGCATAAAGATATTCAGCACTTCCTTAAAAAAATTGAACCTGCACTGTATAAGTAAAGAAATCCAAAGGATTAATCTTTTGGTGGAGCATTTTCTTCAGTATCATTTGTAGCTAACTGCAGCCATCATTTGTTTGGATTCATAGTTTTTTGAGACAGGTCTCGCCTCGTAGTGCAGGCTGGCCTTGAACTCACTCTGTAGCCCAGACTGGCCTCAAACTCGAAGTGATCCTCCTGCATCAGCCTCCTGAGTGCTGGGATTACCATGCCCGGCTCTGTTCGTTTTTATTGTAAAACGTGTCTTAAATATCAAATAGCCGTCTGATGTCCTGTCACCTGATGTGTTTCCCCGATGTCCCCTCCTACCAGTGCACTGTGTGCGTGGCCTTTATGCACAGTGTCCCAGAAACTTGTTTGCTTTTTCAGTTATGTTTGAATGGCAAATATTTTTCAAGTAACATGGTGTTTTGATAGTCATTTTTGTGATTTGCATAATACTGAATTATTTAATAACGTGCTGCTCATTTCTTCATTTGATATGCTTTCTACCTTTTCATTTTTATAGATAACCCAAATATGTATCTGTGCATTGTAGCTTTTCTTATTCGTAGTTATATTGCAAGGACAGATGCCCCAGCAGAAAGTTGGTGGGTTTGTAAACATCTCATCTGTCATGCGTGGTCCTGCTTCTTTCCACAAGCAGCGTATGCTTGTGTAAGTATCAATTCCTTTACCAGACGAGAGAGGAAGTCCTTTACCTGTTAGCATCTCACAGAATCAACGTTTGAAGCATCGTGAAATCTTAGAGGAGGATTTGGCCTTTGCAAATTTAGTTTCCAGTTATAGTAAATCGTATGTGTGAACAATCTGAAGAATCCGGTAACCCGTGCAGTGTGACGGTGAATAGCGGATGCCTCCGGCCTCTCCTTCCCTGCTGTCGGCTCTGGGTGGCTTTGGGAACCCCTAGCTCTGAGCTGTAGTATGCGTACATTACTATGACTTTAAATATTCATAATCAAATCACATTTATATTTTGAGTGTATCTTCTTATACTTTTTATGTTATTCTGGAGTTAATAACTGTCCCTTTCTGCTTGCTTTGCTTTCTCTATTCCTGTATTTTTGTGTATCGCTCAACATTCCGACAGAGTGTAAACCTCCTCTTGATTTTGCCAAACACTTCAGGTTATCCTTAGATGTGTCTTACTCATTTTTTTCCAAGCTCCCCCTGGGGGCCTCTGCACTCTACTCCAGTGTGGACAGGTCGAGCTCAGGGCCTGCAGCTCAGTTGACATCTTGGGATTCCCTTCACGATTTTGCCCTATGAGTTGCTTTTCGTTTGTTTTGTGGATTTGTGTTTTAGAGCTAAATCTTTTCTTTTGAAATCTCCATTTAATGTTTTCCTGAGAAAGATGTGTGGAGGGTAAGTGTTTTTTCCTGGAGTGTCTTCCTGCCATCGTCCTGCGTGCGTGGCTGGGTGTGTGGTCTCGGCCGGGCGTTTGGAAGGAGGGCTTCGTTTTATCCTCAGTGCTGCTGCTGAGTCCGATCCCGTTCCGATCCCGAAGTCTTTGTTAGGACCTTTTACTTTTTTCCTCATGTTTGGGAGCTTTCAGAATCTTCTTATTTGGGGGTTCTCATTTTACACTATCCTGGATTGTATCCTTTTCCGTGTATTTTATTGTCCAGATGGTGTGCCCTTTTGAACCAGAAAATCGTGTTCTGCAGTCTCCTGTGTTTTCTTCTTTGAACTAGTTTTACACGGATGTACTACCTTACGGCCTGATTTTTTTTTTTTTTAAATTTTCCCATTTCTCCTATTTCTGCATCTCATTGCCCTTTGGAAAAATTTTATTAACTTTATTATTTTTAACCATTTCTATGAGATTGTTTTGTTGATACTACAGTATTTTCTAATTTCTAAGCGCTTCCTTCCAGTTCTTCAAGTCTTGTTTTTGTGGCATGGCATGGCATCATGCGGTTTCATCTCTGATTTCTCTGAGGTTATTGGTTGTATTTATTATATTTTCTCATGTGCAATAATTTCTTGTAGAAGTTTCTTTTTAATGTACTTAGTTATTCCATTGATTTACTTAACCTTGAAGATTTAACATAATTTTTCCTCTGTGACCGTCTACTGGATGACTTGTTTTCATTGTTACTTACTAATATTGAAAATACTATTTTTAAGTAATTGTAGATTGTTAGTGAGCTGTCAAAATAGAATAAAAGCTTCTTTGTACTCAGATAGTGCCAGTGATAACAGGTTACATGACTGCGACACACTCACAAAACCAGCAAATCGACACTAGTACAACCTTTCTTCATTGGGAAAGACACGCTGGCTTTAAATTGTCTGTTAACCGAAAGGCTTATGCTGCAGGCATCTGTGAAACCTATGTCGATGTGTTGTGTCTTTCAGCAATTTTTCCAGCTAGTCAAATTACGAAAGCTCGGACTGAGTGATAATGAGATCCAGCGGCTCCCCCCGGAAATCGCAAACTTCATGCAGCTGGTGGAACTGGACGTGTCTCGAAATGGTGAGAAGATCCCACTGGGCTGTCCTGTGTCCCTTCTGATGCGGGGGGCATTGCTAGTGCAGTGGAGCTGTGTAAGCGTTACTGGAGAAGCTATTCCTGGTAATTATGGGAAAGTTATGTATACATTTTTCGTGTGGAAATTAATGCCACTTTTAATAGTTCAGTCAACTTACAAATACTTATCCAAGACATTTCTGTAACAGAACTATTAGAACACAAGTAACAGGTTTCCAAGTAGATTCAGTCTGACTGCTAATGGAGCGAGTTGGCGGGCCGTTTAACCTCGCTGACTCCTTGTAGTGATCTCGATGTTGCCCTGGCGGTGAGTACGTGGAGGTGCGGGGGTCTGCCGTCTGCCCCGGGAGGTGCGGGGGGGGCAGTGCCCAGTGGCTTGCTGCTCTGCCTACCTCGGGGGCCTGCTGTCAGCTCCATGTATTTCTGGGGTTCTGCCGTCTGCCCCGGGAGGTGCGGGGGTCTGCCATCTGCCCCGGGAGGTGCGGGGGGGG